CAATTATTCACCTTTTCTGGGTTTTGTTTAAAATTAATATGAAGCATGCTACGGTGATTTTTTGTACACACCGAACATAAAATTTCGCTAAGACACTTTCCATTATATGGGTGTTTAAGACCTTTAAAACACAAAGAAGCTTTTCTTACTTTTTCCATTCTTTCTGATAAATTTAAAGCTTTGAATTCGCTACAATAAAAAAGGGGGGGGCCCTACACCTTTGCAGATGGGACAACTGTTAGTTAACAATTTCTTTGAACTGTTACTAAATGCATTTTTTTAACAGGCTTTTCATCCTGAATTGAGCTAATTGAACTAAGTCGTTGCTCAAAAAATTCTGTTAACTCAGATAATATTGTATTTGAATTTCTTTGGTTTTCTTAATATCGCTTTCATATAATTAAAGAGTTTCTTTACTAAATTTTTAAATAATTATGTGTGCAAAGATGATATCGACATCATGGAAAATTTGTCCCTTTTGTTTTATTATGTGAATTGACTCATTTATAGTGTCAATAAACATTCTTAATTGCTTTACTGAGTCAATATTTACATTTTGAAACTCAAGAAGGCGATTCAGTTGTACGGAAAATATTTTCCGATTATTTTCGTACCGCTTGGTTAACTGTTCCCAAGCGGCCTCATAATTATCTCCAGACCTCAATAATAGGTGAGAAACCACATTTCTAGCTTATCCCTTAAGGGAAATTTTTAAATAATCAAAGATTATGGAAGGACTTAGATCCTCTCTTAAATGAATGAGTTCATTAAACAACTCATAAAATAGGTCCCAATCTTTGGAATCTCCAAAGAATGTGGGTACCTGAATTTTGGGTACAGTTGGCAAATCGTCCATTTTTAAATTGGTTGCCTTAGCCTTAGTTCGCACACTTTCCTTTATCTCGATTTTTATATTATTTGATACCGTGAACATATCAAACTCTAGCTCACCTAGAATTTTATCATATCTCCTATCTGTAACATCAGTCATCTCGACCAATAATAATAAATCTTTTCCATTCTTATTTGAAAAGTTGTCTCTTATATCGTTTAAAGCAGGGGTGCTCAACGCCTATACACTGAGTGCACTTTTGTTTTTGTAGATGCTCTGTGCTTATGGGTAGTGCGCGCATAAGCACCGTGCATATGGGCTTCGATTTGCATGCGAAACAAAAACAATTTTGCTTGTTTCTTCATTACATCTCTATCCGTCGTCACGCTTCGCTGAACGCAATGTATTTTGTTTTTGTTTTTTCCTCGAGCACATGCACTGAAACTTATTTTTCTGTCTGCGTTGGCTTTTGATTTATTTCGTGATGGACCATTGTAGGTGTTATGTTAAATATTTTGGCGGATCAAAATGAGTGATGAATTAGAGAGCAGTTTTTTTTAGCATAAACTTTAAATGTATGCTTCGTAGTAAATATTTAAAACTTTTTTTCTCTCAGTGCACAGCTGCGCCCCAACACAAACGCGCCGCTACATATGTACACGTTTTCTTGTGGGTGTGTTAGTAAACGCACTGCCATAAGACGAATTTGAGCACCCCTGGTTTAAAGTTTCTTTCAGGTAAGCTTCTAGTTGGTTGTAAAGTATAGTATTATATTTGCTAGAATTATAGTATTATAGAATTTTATATGACTGTTAACTTAAAATTGACTTATCTGGTCTTGCTTTGCTGTTGTTGTTTCTGCCGCTGCTGTTGTTGTTGCCGCTGAAGATTGTTGCCGCTGAAGATTGTTGCTGCTTGCGTCTATGTCCCCTTGTTGCTCTTACTTTTGCTGTCTGCCGATCGTACCGCTAATATTTTTTTTTGCAGATGATTCTTCTTCTCTGTTTTTGCTTTTGTTTTTGACGAAATAGAGATTGTTTTGCCCCGACTACACTTGTCACAGATAAAACCCACTGATGTCACTTTATAACTTTTTTTCACTTTCGATGTTTTTAAGGCCTTAAAAACGCCTAAATACAGCTGCTCGATGGCAATTTCAAAAATATTTTTATTTTTTTAGTGTCGATTTCTTGACCGCAATTTTTTTAATTTTGCTTCGTATTAACCCTCTAGTGCCCAAGACCAGCTCTAGACGGGTAATGTTAAAAATACCGTTATTTTATTAGGGGAAGTCCAAAAATTAAGTTGGTTGCATTTGGAATACATACTAGAGCTTGCGCAAGCTGCTGTATTCATTTGAAGCAGAAAATTTGTGCAACTCGGACGAACTAATTATTTTGTAAGAAGTGTATGTATTTTTTTTAATTATAATAAATAGTTTGCTGCTGAAAAAAAATTATACCGTGTTGCTGATAATCTCAAGGACGCAAAAAACGAAACTCACACTTAAAATAAGTTTTAGTTAGCTTTTTATTGCTTTTATAAAGTATCCCGTCTAGAGGCGGTCTTGGGACAGTTCGCGAAAAAAAAATTATACGGTAAGTTTTAAAGGGAAACAACCTATGACATATTTGATTAGAACTAATTGCTTCAGTAGACATGGAACGACGACAAGTTAATAAGCTATCAGCTCTTCCCGTCGTGGAGATTAAAAAATTTTTTAATTCTATTGAATTTGACATTGATACGGATGGAGAAGAAGAATTGGAGGACGATTTTACTAATGATGTTTGCGATGTTTCACTTCCTGTCAATGAGGAAGATGAAGAAGCGATTGAAAAAGTGCTACATATGTCGGATTCTATGTTGGCTAGAGAGATTTGTATAACTTCAAGCGGAAGTCCTACTCCTTTTGCAAAACTGTTGTCACCCTCAAGTTCGATAGTCAGAAACGCAAACGTAAAGCACCTGCTGAGCATAATACTGCTCATGTTAAAGAAAGCACAATAGCTGAATGTGGATCTGTTTGGACTATCGACCCAAAAGCACCGCATTTCAAAAAGATGTTGTGTCGCCAAACGTACCTAGTCATGGATAAATCTGCAATATCCTTTAATGACCCTGACCTCGGAGAACTTAAAAATACGCCATTCAAGTGACTTCAATTTTTTTTAAATGATTCTATTATTGAACATATCACCCAGCAAACAAAATTGTATGCTGCCCAAAAGGATGTCAATACTTCGTTTTCCACAACAAATTTAGAAATTCGACAATTTATTGGCATTCTATTTTCGATGTCAGTTCTTCGCTACTCAAATGTTCGCTCACATTGGGGGAGTACGCATTTGGAACTATACAAAACACAATGTCAAGAAATCGCTTTGAAAAATACGAGGAAATTTGCATTTTAATGATAACAGTAAGTTGCCCTCCAAGGATTCTGCCGACCACGATCCTTTATACAAAATACGGCCGCTCGTGAATCATTTCAATGACAAGTTTCAATTAGTTCCGATGCGCCAACGCTTATCTGTGGATGAACAAATGTGTGCAACGAAGATGAAGACCTTTCATAGACAATACTTACCAGACAAACCACACAAATGAGGAGTGAAATTCAATCAATTTGTGTGACTCTTCTGGCTTTTGCTATAATTTCGAGATATATTGCGGAGCAGGTGACAACGTTGTTCAAACTGGCTTACCGGATCTTGGTGCGGCAGCAAATGTAGTTGTTCGATTGTCACGCAATGTTCCGGATTTCAAAAATCTGATTATCTACTTTGACAATTATTATACTTCGTTGCCGCTTCTTGTATATCTCAAGTCCCGGGGATATTTTCTTTGGGAACTATTCGCTCGAATCGCATTCCAAATTGTAAGCTGCCAACTGACAGCGACCTCAAAAAACAAGTGCGTGGATATTCTACAGAATTTTACGTTTACATAAATTGCCCAAATGTTATCCACAAATACAACAGCCACATGGGCGGTGTCGATTTAATGGACGGACTTATAGGTCGATATAAAATTCCCGTAAAGAGCAACAAGTATACAAATCGACGATTTACGCATATGTTTGATTTGGCCATGGTAAGCGCTTACATTTTGTTCCACCGAATAAACCATCCCGACGCTAATAACGCAAAATACCAATTGCCAAATTTCCGATCAGAGGTCGCATATGTGTTTTGCATGCTAAAAAGAATAGGAGATTCTGCCAAAAAGGCCAGGCGACCGCGACAAGTTGATGGAAAGGAAAATAAATGCACAGGGAGGAAAACTTACCTACCCATTAATAATGTACGTTATGATACCGTCAAGCATTTTGCAATGTTTTTATCACGCGCTAACAAAAATTTGTAAGCTTCCTGGTTGTACTTCTGAAACTCAAATTGTCTGCCGTAAGTGTAATATAAACCTGTGCTTTTCCCAGATAAAAGACTGTTTCTATGATTTTCATCACAAATAAGTAAACGAACTTTTTGTACACAAATATTTGAAGCTTTGTGAATTTAAGTAACTTTAGTTTTAATTGTTATTTGTTTTTGGTGCTGATCTTTATAACATTTATAAAAAAACATGTAAACAAAAGAATTGATTACCTAATTTTTTGCTGGCCTATCTTCCCAAAGCCGCCTCTAGGCGGTCCAAGGTAATAGACATATAAAACTCGATACAAGCAAAAAAAAATTTGTTTTAAAACAAACATTTACTTTTGCTACAAACGGAACCCAAAAATAATTTTTTTCTTGGAAAAGAAAATTTGGGCACTAGAGGGTTAAACAATAAGGATTCTTTTTTATCATTTTCCTTTAATTTTATCAATTATTTAGCAACAAATCTTAAAGTGATAATTTTTAGACTCAAATTGCATGTACTTAAAACTATGAATGTCAGCAGCACTCGCGTATAGATAGTGTTTTATGGCTCAAGCCTCATGCACACGCGCATAGAGCTCATTACCGATGGGATGGACAGACGTACTCTGTGGGGATTACTGGTTTGCTAACTTCTGACTGAAAATTATAATTAGTGGAAGTGGGTAAGTCGACTTTTTTAGTAGCAGGCGACAAGCAAATTCTTTCAAATTAGATAGACTATTTAGGATTGATTATTACTGTCTAATCCATTTTAACGTTATTAAAAATTAAAAAATATATACCTTGATACAGCCAGTCTGGAACACCATTATATACTTGGTTTTCATATCCCGAAGAGGTTATTCTTATATCTGTTTCCATTACTGGGGATTGTCGGATAAATATATCATTTTCCACTACAAATATTATTGCTGTCGAATTGCCAAGCCAAGACGCATACTGAAGGCGAGTTCTTTGCACCTTTAGAGAGTCTTTTAATTTTACTGGCATGTGGTGATCGTTTTCCACGTCATAAATTGTGTAAAATGCTGTAAAAGATTTTTGAAAATCCTAGAGGAAGACAGTGATTTGGTTAATCTTATACTTATATATTATATATAAATTATATATCAATAGTCAAACTTTAGATCTATTACTTACTTTTTTTACATTATGTTTAAACAAAACATATTTAAGATCGTGGGAGCACATGTAGCCATAAACATTTAATTGACGTAGAGTGTGGTTTGTTACTAAAACGTTTATAATGTTCGTAGTTGTATCCAAGATAGCCAAACCTCCATCATCCGATTGGAACACATACTTTTGGGAAGTTACCCAAGAGGGAGGTAACCTTGACGGCGTTAAGTCTCCTTGCAAAAATTCATCTAAAATCATCCTACGGCCTGACCAATACAAAAGCTCATCAACATATCTGAAAAATATTTTTAAAATTTTATTTTTAGGATTATTTAATTATTTATAGGTATTTACCACAAAAATAAACTATTAATACAAACATTTAAATTGTTACCATAAAAACTGAGATTTTAAAAAAGGGAGGCTAACACTTACAAGCAAAGCAACGTTACAACTCATGTTTAATAAGATTGCTTTTACTTACAAGATTACTTATACTACAGCATATTAAACGTATTTACGCGAAACTACCTTTACATAAAAAATGTTATTCAACGACACAACTTTTTGACAATACAGTCGAATCCCGATAATTCGTACCCCGCTAAATCGAAAATCGCGATAATTCGTAAAAAATTCTGTTCCCTTGAAAAAAATTCCTTGAAAAAATCTCGATAAATCGAATTCCCGTCTAATTCGTAAAGAAAAGTGATCCCCTTGCCATTTTGAATTATCGGGACTCGACTGTATTTATAAGAATAAAAATACATAAAAGAAACTAGAAACAAGATACAAAAATAAATAGTTTTCATATTTTTACCCTCACATAAATGCTGTGAAAATAACTTTCATAGGTATTATGTTCGCAAAAACCTTTATGTAGGTACCAATACCGGTTCTCCTATTTTGGCTTTTTGGACGTCTTGCATAGTTAACTAGCTGCGATTTGTCGTGACTTCATTTTCATTAATTTTTATATCAGTTACTCATACAGTAAAAGAATGTATGTAGTTTTAAAAAGCAGTCAAGACCCCATAAAGTATATTCTTGATCGTGTCAAACCGTGGTCGCACACAGACGTGTATTTATTGTGCTCCGGAAAAAAAGTATTTAATAAAATCTATTATAACGCGAGAATACGCTTTCTGAGATGAAATCGCAAATATTTGTCAATTAATTAATATATAACTTAACACTTTAAGCTGAAATTAACTTAACTTCGATTTCAATGAGTTTAAACGACTTTCGCTACATATCAGAGACTGTTAACTTTCTGGTATTTATTATGTTACGATAGTCATGTTACAGAAGCTGCACTTTGCGCAGCGCAATAAACAGATCAGTACGAATGAAATAGCGAAACGGAGAACACTCTTTTTAATCGGTACGGATTTTTGCACGCCTTTTTCACACCACCCAGATCCTAGTTTCATGTCACCACGAAAACGCTTGTGGATGCAACATTTTGGCGCCCAACGTGGGGCAAGTGTGTTAAATAAATATTGAAATAAACTAATAAACTTATAAATTAAACGTGCCACAAGTTTTATCGTTCCCGCGCGTTCCGTCTGCACACAGCTGCACACATATACGCATACGAACACAAGTGCGGGCAGTCAAGTGTCGCTGACAAACGGAACAATTCTTCGATTTCGCTTTGCGTTTGAAATTTGGCTCCACATTTAAATCGAAATTAAAAGGGAATTGTTGCTTGCAGTTCTTTCGTTTTCGCTGATTTCTGCAACCGTGAAGCCGCTTGTCGTAAAACTTGTCGCTTAACAAATTTGTCGCTTTCGGAATCTAACGGCAAGTATTCGCGCTACCCTGTTCAGAAGTTTGATATGCTTCAACTTTAACCTAACTACAAAATAATGGTTCCTGGTGTAAGCCAACTTGACGAGGCCAAGCGTCAAATGGCCAACGTTAAACGAAACATTTCGCGAATTAAATCAGTGGTTGACGAACATGTTAAAGAGGAGTCCTTCAACCGCTCTGCCGCTGAACTCCTATGCCGTCTGGGAATTTTGGAATCCTACTTTAAAAAGGCGCTAGTGATTTAAACTAAAATTGAAACTTTGGATTCAGCGGACACCGGGCGTGTTGACATTGAGGAGACATACATAGCGACCAAATTGGCTATCAAACAACTACTCGGTGAAAATCTAAGCAGCACAATGCTCGAATCCAATACACCGGCACTGCCGCAGTCAAAGCTCCCAAGGCTGCCGCTGCCAACTTTTGATGGTACTCACACGGAGTATAAAAACTTCATGACTTCGTTTATGCAGCTTACTGGACGTGAGAATTTGTCATCAATTGAGAAATTCAACCATCTTCTCAACTGTTTGAAGGGCCCAGCACTAGAAGCAGTAAAAGCGTTTCCAGTGACCAGCGAAAACTTTCCCAAGGCTTTGGATAAGTTGAAAGCTCGATACGACAAGCCAGCGCTAATATTTATGGAAACAATAACCACAATCTTTAAATTGCAGCCTGTTAACTCTTCGAATGCACAACAATTGCGAAGCTTGATCGATAATGCATCCACCCTATTCAGCTCTCTGTCGTCGCTGGGCTCGGATGCACAAATTTCGGAGGCAATGCTAATCTACCTAGTTATGGACAAGTACGATCAACAAACTCGGAATAAATGTAATCTCTGGACTACTCTTCGTTTCCATCCTGGACCCAGTGCGCTAGTGTGCTCGAACGCCACTTCCAATTTCTAGTATCTAGTGGATCTCATTTGCACTCACCAAGACCACATGCGTCTTTTGCTCCAGCGCTGGACACAGACTCATGGCATGCGACCAGTTTCGGAATTTGGATTCACTGCAACGCCTAGAAGTGGTGCCTTTGCGTCAATTGTCTTGGCAAGGGACATAAGGTGTCAAATTTCCCGTCGAAAAATCGCTGTCGAAGTTGAAACCAGCCGCATCATACGCTCTTGCATCACCAGAACTCTCCGCAGGCGCTATCATTACAACCTTCGGCAAGCTCGTCCCAGTCCAGCGGAACAGCAACTTATTCTCAACCACAATTGAACGGAGCACCAAGCTACGTTAATGTGCAGCCGTATCCTATCGGAGCTGCAACCCATGCGCAAGCTCAATCAGATGCAAGAGGGGGATCAGAAGTCATCCTAGCCACAGCAATGGTGCAAGTTCAGGACTCAATTGGCTCCTTCAGACTCGGGAGAGCGCTTCTCGACTCCTGCTCCCAGGTCAATTTTATAATCGAGTCTTTTGCTCAAAAACTCAGATTGCCGAGGGACAAGCATAGTGTTCAAATTCGCAGTATCGGCGACTCGAACGCGCACATCAAACACCGTACATCAACAACAATCAAATCTCGTCTTTCGCCTTTGGAATTGCCTCTCGATCTGTGCATAACGCCTAACATTGCATATCAACCAGACACCCAAATTGACATCTCGAACTGGAACCTTCCATCCAACACGCCGTTAGCGGACGAACAATTTCATCTTTCTGCTAGGTGCTGAGGCATATATTCTTGCAGTGCACATTGGGATGAAATGCCTTTATTTTGGCAACAACCTTATTTTTAAAGCTAGAAAGTTGAAACTTGGAGAATTTGCTGCTTATATTATTTGTGAATTTCGGTTTTTTTTTTTTACACTGCCACCTTTCCTTCCCTGCCGCCCACATAATAGAACTGCAGTATATTCATATAAAATTCATATTAATGTTGTTCTATTTTTTCTTCACTTTTTTTATCCACAATTGTTAGAAAATTTTTTTATTTTAATATTTTTGCATATTATAACATAGCTTAATAAACGAAAACTTAAAAATAAGTACATAAACTTGTATTATTATAAACGTTCTTCTTCTAAATCAAAATCTAAATGTGGTATACTTGTAAGGTCGTCTTCAACACTATATACTTGGGCTGCATCTTCTGGTTTTGGAGAAGCTAAAAGTCCAATAACTTCACTTGGCAATGAGTGTTATTTTGAACTCTTTTTTGAGCGATGCTTGATAAGTAAGGATCAGAAGAATCCAAAGCTTGGTGAAATACGTCAGTTAAATTGTTCACTCGGCTATTTTTCCTCGCATGCAAAAATGGTATAGGCTCTTTTAATGATAGTTGTTGGCTTAATTTTGAACTGTCAGGACTATTTATTGTTGTATTTAAAATGTGAGAAATATCTTTATTTTTTTCCTTATGCTGCTTTAATAAGTAGATGTGTTAAATTTTCCTTTGCAAGTTCGGAAGCAAATCTTCTTTTAAGCCGTAAACTTCCTTCGTCATAAGAGACCCGAGGTCGTCCACCTTTTGAATATAATATTAGCTCCGATGCAAGCCAGCTAGCATTTTTTGCTTTTTATCATCTTCAAATCGTTTTCCGGAAAATCATTTGGAATTACTTCTACGCAAACCCAGTCAAAAGTAGCAATGACATTGCGATTATTATCCAGCCAAACTTCCAGTAAGTCACCTCGACGAATTGCAACCTTGCTCGCATCTGTTGAAATATCTAACCCCCCGCAAATTCCCGCAAATTATTTAAAAGCTATCTGAATATACACATAATAACACTTACTACCACATAAGTTGTTATTTGAATCCTGTTGTATCTTGCTAGATATGATCCACGAAACACAAATATTTTAAGGTTAGAATCAACAAAACTAGTGTTTACGTATTTCATTAAAAACATGACAAAACAAAAGCACATATAATTAAACACTTATACAGATATTTTCTTCCTACCATGTGAAACATTTTCCATTTTAAGGTATTTTAATTGGTCAAACTGTTTAAAAATACGAGAACGTCAAAGTTAAGAAACTTGTCTAATCAGCAAGCTTGCACGCACTACGTGGCAAGAACAGCTGACTTTCAAGGGCTGGTGGAAGACAAGGCCTGCACAATAAAATACCAATTAAATATTTTTGATGTCTAGAGACTTTTCTTAGCTTAAAATAATTGTAAGAAAATTGATATATTAACACGATTTTTTTAGGTTTTGGCCAAAATAAAGGCATTTCATCCCAATGTGCAGTGGGCCAAGTCAAACTGGGCCCCAATTTTCCGACTGTCCAAAAGACACTATTCGGTTGGGTAGCAGCGGGAAGCCATCGCCCAAAACAATCAAAGGAGTCCTACGCATATCTGGCTCAAAGCTCTGCAGCCGTTGATGCAAATCTGAAGCGTCTGTGGGAAGTGGAAACAATCAGCACCTCGGGTGAGCGACTTAAGCCAGAACACCAGTTATGTGAGACACACTTCAAGCAGTCAACTCGTTTAGAAGCAAACGGAAGGATCGTCGTA